ATGTTAATGTATATCTTCGAGAATCGGTAATAGTGCGATTTTTATAAATAAATTAAATCAATCATGTAAGATTTTGGATGTGGGATACTGATGATAGATAAACAGAAAAGCAAGTATTTGTAATAACAGCTGATCTAATTGAAAAAGTCATTTTTGATGGTATTTCCAAATCTACTTTATATGTTTTAAAATTTTCTGATTAATTGGCTTCTGGATTGAAATTTTACAACAAAGGAGGAAATAATCTAGACCATACTTACATGACCATCCTAAAACTATAAGCCTTCTAAGCCTTTTGATTATCAATGTAAATTAAAATAACAATAATTTCCTTCCATATTATAGATTTGGAATATTAATTAAATTTCTTTATAACTTAATGTGTAATTTTAATATTTTCATTAAATATTATTGTTTAACTAAATTAATTTTGAGAATAAGTATTTAGAATTATGCGTGTCCTAATTTTATTTAATAGCCAGTTCTAATAGATTTTATTTATAATTCTTAGAATTTTTAATTAATTGAAATCATTTATGAATTCTAAGCAGCTTAATTTAGATGAAAATTGAACGAATATTCGTAGATATCTGAGTTAATTATTTGTTCATTTAGTATAGAGAGGGTGAAATTTGTAATCATTTTCATAAAATAAGTTCTTATGAAAAATGTAGCAAATTAACTTACCTTTTTTAAGATAGATTTTAAGCTGAATTCTGATTTTTTACAAAATAAAAAATACTATTCTTTTGATCATTATGTATCATTAAGGTGAACGGAAATGGTCTGTTAATACAAACATATTATCCTTGAAGATAATTAAATAATTAAAATTATTAATTGGTTTTTCATCACAATCCTTAGTTCAGGTTAGATCTCCTCCTAATTTAACTCTTAAAGAGTTAGATGATGATTATTATTTTAATTTCTGTATAATTCCAAAAAAATTTTTTCATGCTCAATTATTCAAGAATTTCCTTTTGAATTGATACTTATTTCATCCTAATTTTTTGGATGAAGTGCTTCTCTGCACAAATTTATAGGATGATAAATTTTTAACTTTGCTTAATGAAAGCTAAGAATCGAGCTGTGAAGAATCAGGATTATTGCTACTAAAAATCTACTGTTTTACTTATCAATATATAGATTAATAGCAAAGTATTAAAACATAATATTTATTCCAATGAGATTCATCTTTTGGTGTAAGAACTAGTAAATGAAATATTTGGTTTCTTTTATCTTAGAGTTCTAAGTATTGCTTGCAAGATGAATTGCTTAACCTATCACACATTTCTGACTTGTTGAAGAGGGGTTTAGAGGGATTATTGTTGGATCGATTTTATTTTATAGTATTAAAAGGAGTGTTGGATCAATTTCATTTATACTATATCAAATTAATTGAAATCAGGTTATGTTTATAATTGAAAATGAAATATATATTTTTTTCTGATCAATTGCTCACGACATCAAAATATTAAATAAACTACTTATTTAGACTTGCTAATATAGAGACCATCAAAGACACTCCGCATTATTCTATCTTACTTTACAAAGTTGTGCACATTCTAAAATAATTTTCATACTTAATAGATAATTAATAAATATTTGTCATCAATTCTAGTCTACGTGGATCATTTTTAGAGGGATGTGTCTATAATGGTAATGCAGGCTGTGTTGACCCTAAAGCTGCTGACACAACTTGCGCAAGTTATACAGGTGTCGCTGCATTCTCTGAATCAGCAATTGTAGGAACCAATAGTTCAAAATATTGCTTCGGAACAGCTACATCAGGTGCTTGCAAAACTTGAGAGTGTACAGATAATACAACAGCCACCAAAGATGAGGATTGTGAGGCTTTCATGACAGGATGCATAGCAAAATCTGAAGGAGGTTGTGTTGCTAAATCTGCAAGATAGTGTACTGCATAAACAGGAACTGTTGCTACTTGTCCCAATTTTAGCGGTGGTTTATCTCCAAGTTGAACAAAGGTTGCATGCACAAAATATGATACCTGTGCAGATCGAGCTTGTTCAGACAAAACAAATCCTTAATAAGCTTCAGATTGCACAGATTATTAATCAACTTGTAGATTCAAATAGTCTGGAACTGCATGTATTGATGCCGGTATTTGTACCAGTTACTCTACTCCTGATGCTGCAACATCTGATTAATAAAAGTTTGATTATTGTACAACTATCAAAGATAGCAGTGGTTATGTTTGTGGTTGGGCCTCAGGAACAAAGTGTGCATCTAGAACTTGTGATTAATTCTTGAGCACAACATTTACTACTTCAATGACATGTGTTACATATTTATAAAAGAATGTTTCAAGTGCAGCAGCTGATACATGTAAATTTGCAGGGACATTCTGTTATTTACCAAATAAGACAGATTGTACCTATGCATTCCAAACTGAAATTACTACAGATGCTTAAAAATTAACACAATCTTAGAAATATGTGAATACATCTGGAGTGTTTTGCTCATTTAAGACAGGTGATGCAACTTGTACTTTATAAAGTACTTGTAAAAAGTAGTTTCTTAAACATCTGATTAAGCTTGTAATGATGTTTTAGGTTACGATCTCGGAATATGCTAAAAAGTGAGTAACACAGGTTGCTTATCAACTGTTGCTGCTTGCGGAAGTTATAACTTAGATTCAACACTAACTGATGCTAATAAAAAGACTGCTTGTGAATCTTTGAAACTTGTTAATGATGAAGCTAAATTCGGTTTAGGAGCTGCAACATATACAGGATTTACATGGTCAACTGGTAATACATGCACAGCATTCAATTGTGCTACTATTGCCTCAGCTACAAGTTAAAAAGATTGTGACAGCAAAATAGCAGTATGTTATTATTATTCTGGAAAATGTTATGCAGCAGTTGCAGCTGGCTCTTGTCCAACAGTTTTCCCAACTGATGCAGACACAGATAATAAGAAGGCACTTTATTTTAAGTCAGTGTATGAAACTGGTAAAGGATATTGCGAAATAAAAAAAGATGGCACAGCTTGCTAAACTGGAGCAAATGCTGATTGTGCTCTAACTTTAGCTACTGTTTGGACGAAAGCCACCTTTGATGGAGTTGCCCCAACAACTGATGCCTTTTGCATTACATAATCCACTAAGGATAGATCTGTTTATTGTATCAAAAAGGATACAACCGATTGTTAAGCAGGAGCTTGTCAAAACATTACAGCAACTAGTTAAAATGATTGTGATCTACATTTAATTGGATGTGTATTCTCAGCTGGTAAATGTAGAACACCAAAAGGTGTTGTTACTACTGGAACAGACTGTGCTGATACAGCAGCTAAGCTTCCTTTCATTGATGCCACAGGTTTGGCAGCTAGCGCCAAAACTGCATATTGCTAAGTCTTTTCAAAAGATGGAGCAAGTGTATTCTGCACATACGATGAATTTAATGAAACAACTTAAACAGCTTGTGTAGCTGCAGGAGGCTGTGATTCATATACAACATTACCCGTTGGTGATGCAGCTAGATTAACTTATTGTTTGAGTAAAATAAATGGCGCTGGTAAGAAATGTGGATTTACAGCTGGAGCCGCTAAATGCAGAGATTTTGATTGTTAAGACATTGCAAGTCCAAAATCTTAAGTTGATTGTGACCTCTAAGCAAATGCATTAAAATGTGTTATTTTAAAGGAACTTGTGTAAATGATGCCACCTGTGCAAATGTTCCCGCCGTTGGAACCTCAGCAGATGATAAAAGATCATACTGTTCAAATGCAGCAGTTTCTGAAACTTGTACTTATGCAGTTGGTGCTAACTGTGTGAAGTAAGATACATGCGATAAATATGATGTGACAGATGCAACAGATAAAGCAGCCACATGCAAAGCTTTATCTGACGGAACTAATTCATGCACATATATTCAAGGTAATAAGTGTGTCACATTGGATGTTTGTAGTAAATACGATGGAACAACTACAGCAGCACTTGGACCAGCAGCTGGCTCAGAAGATGCATAATGTAAAGCCGTTAAATCAAAAACCAATTACCCATGCATGAAAGATATTGCTTAGTAATGCAAAGCCTAAGTTTGCACAGATAATGACGCCAGTGCTACAGATTGTGTAAATAATGCTCCAGATTGTATCTATTATTCAAGTAAATGCATTGCCAAAGATACTTGTTCAAATTATACAGCATAAGGCGCTGATGATGCAGCCAAATAAACTTGGTGTGAAGGAGTTGCAAATTCATCAGGAGATTTATGTGCTTGGGATTCTGCAAATAAAAAATGTAAAGACAGAGTATGCAGTGATAAATCATTCTATACAGACTTTGATTGTTAAAGTTACCTCAAATCTTGCAAGACAAATGGTTAAGCATGCGCTGCTATACAACAGAAAAAGATAGGTAAACCATTAGCGCCAGCTACTCCAACAGCTGCAGGAGCATGTGCAAATAAGCAATACTATGACAATGTTACAGCAACATCTGATTCTGAATGTGATTCTTATTTGNGCAAATGCTGATTGCGTTCTCACATTATCTTCTGCTTGGACCAAAGCTACCTTTGATGGAGCTACTCCAACAACTGATGCATTTTGCATTACCCAATCTATTAAAGACAAAACTAAATATTGTATCAAAGATGACGCAGCCAAGTGTAAAGCAGGAACTTGTGAAAACATTACAGCAACTAGTTAAAATGATTGTGATCTACATTTAACTGGATGTGTATTCTCAGCTGGTAAATGTAGAACACCAAAAGGTGGTATTTCTGTTGTTGGAGACTGTGCTGACACATCTAAACTTCCTTTTACAGATGCCACAGGTTTGGCAGGTAGCGCTAAAACTGCATATTGCTAAATCTTTTCAAAAGATGGAGCAACTGTATTCTGCACATACGATGAATTTCATGCGACAACTTAAACAGCTTGTGTAGCTGCAGGAAACTGTGACTCATATACAACATTACCCGCCGGTGATGCAGCTAGATAAACCTATTGCTTGAGTAAAATAAATTCCACTGGTAAAAAATGTGGATTTACAGCTGGAGCCGCTAAATGCAGAGATTTTGATTGTTAAGATATTGCAAGTCCAACATCTTAAGTTGATTGTGACCTCTAAGCAAATTCATTAAAATGTGTTTATTATAAAGGAACTTGTGTAAATGATGATAATACTTGTGATAAAGTTCCAGCCGTTGGAACCTCAGCAGATGATAAAAGATCATACTGTGCGGGTACATCACTTGCAGATACATGTACTTATGCCGTTGGTACTTACTGTGTAAAGTAAGATACATGCGATACATATGATGTGACAGATGCAACAGATAAAGCAGCTGCTTGTGGAGCTTTATCTGACGGAACTAATAAATGCACATTTATTCAAGGTACTAAGTGTGTCACAGTGGATATTTGTAGTAAATACGATGGAACAACTACAGCAGCTCTTGGACCCGCATCTGGTTCAGAAGAAGCATAATGTAAAGCCGTTAAATCAAAAACCAATTACCCATGCATGAAAGATGCTGATAAGAAATGCAAAGCATAAGCTTGTACCGATAATGACGCCAGTGCTACAGATTGTGCTAATAATGCTCCAGATTGTATTTATTATTCAAGTAAATGCATTTCCAAAGATACTTGTGCAAATTATACAGCATAAGGTAGTGATGATGCAGCCAAATAAACTTGGTGTGAAGGAGTTGCAAATTCATCAGGAGATTTATGTGCTTGGGATTCTACAAATAAAAAGTGTAAAGATAGAGTATGCGGTGATAAATAATTCTATACAGACTTTGATTGTTCAAGTTACCTCAAATCTTGCAAGACAAATGGTTAAACATGCGTTACTTCAACTACTCAATGCAATTCACTTAATGGATCCACAGAATTTTGCAATCTCTTATTAGATACAACAGGAAAAGATAGATGTAAACCACTAGCACCAGCTTCTCCAACAGCTGCAGGAGCATGCACAAATAAACAATGCTATGACAATGTTACAGCAACATCTGATTCTGAATGTGATTCTTATTTGAGTGGATGTGTCACACGTGGAACAGGATGCATTCCAAATACAGAACAATGCACATCCTACAGAGGAACTAAATTGTAATGTGAATAATTCAAAAGATACACTGGATTGGATGCTAATAAAAATCCAACTTATGAATATTGTTCTGGTGATGCTTCTAATACTGCCACTGGAAAATGTAAAGTAAGAACTTGTGCTGATAATACTACAGCAACATCAGATACTGATTGTGCTGCTTATTTGAAAGGATGTATTACAAAGGGTACTGGATGTATTGATGCAACATCATCTTGCAGTGGATTTAAAGGAGATTAGGCCACTTGTGCTAAATTCATGGCAAGCTCAGGAAAAGATTATTGTTGGAACACTTCAACTGCACTAGTAACAGCTGCTTGCGCAAAGAAGAAGTGCAGTGATATTGCTGGTAAAAACAATAAGGATTGTAATGATGGTATGCCACCATTCAAGGCAACAGATGATCCTTTCTGTGTCTATGATGGAACTGGTTGTATTGATTATGGAAAGAATTGCAGTACCTTCAATGGAACTGAAGAAACATGCCCAACATATTTGGCTAAAGATGGACCATGCAAAGCTACTACAGTTGGAACAATCAAAGGAGCATGTGCTAAGAGAGTATGCACAGAAGCACCAAATACACTTGCAACAGATGCTGATTGTTAGAAATATCATAAGGATTGTGTAACAACTGGTTATGGATGCACAGCCACTAAGAACTGCAGTAATTTGACATCATAAGCCGCTTGTAAATTAAGAGCAGAATGCACATGGGCTAATTAATGTACAGCTTCTATTACTACACACTTACAGTAACACCAGTTACTCATAATGTACCAATTCTAAAGTCAATGGTAAATTCTGTGCTTAGACAGAATCCAACTCAACATGCAGAGCTTAAACTTGTGAAGATTAACCTGCAACAATTGCTTCTCATGCTCAATGTTAAAGCTTTGCTGATACATGTACTACATCTGGAGCTGGTTGTTTGACCATTACTACATGTGCATCATACAAGACTCAATCAATCTGTATTGCTGCCTCAACAACTAAAGATGGAGTAGGAGGATCTGGTTGGGATACTGAGTAGGAGGATCTGGTTGGGATACTGCAACAAATAAATGCAGAGCTAGAGTTTGTAGTGATAAGAACGGTTTAACTGACGATGAATGTAACACCTTCCTCGCTGGTTGCAAGACCAATGGATAAAGTTATGTTGCTGGAGCCTCATGTACTGAATTTTCTAATAAATAATTCTGTATTAAATCCAACTATGGACCATGCCTTTGGGTTAATGGATCATGCTATGATTATGACAGATGTGAAGATGCTATCAAGAAGACACATTCTGAATGCTAAGGATTCTCACCATTGTGCACAACAAATGGAGACACATGTATTCCAATTACAAATTGTGCCAGCATAACATTGAAGGCCTCATGCGTCGTCGGAACTGATGGATCTTGTGGATGGTTACCAACTGGAAAATGCTAGAAGTTCGGATAATGTACAGATGCCGTTGCTGCCACCAATGATGAATGTCTCTCATATGGGCCAACATGTTTTCCTGATGAAGCAGCTTGTATTGCTAAAGCAGCTTGTGCTACCTACAAGACATAAACAGCATGTAATAACCTTGGAACTGATGGTATCTGACATTGGAATGCCAATACTTGTAAATTGAAGGAATGTGGAGATGAATAAAAGGGTACAAACGACTAATGCAAACTTATCTCAGTAACTGGAGGATCTTGCACAACTGATTGAACCAAATGTATCCCATATGCTGCCTGCTCAAGCTATGTTGAAGCTGGTTGTTTCTATGGAACTGATGGAGAATGTATTTTCGCATTACCAGTTGGAGCTACTACAGGAACTAAGGCCTGCAGATAAAAGCAATGTGAAGATATCACTGGAGGAACATCAAATGCTAATTGTATGGGTGTTATCACAGGAAAGGCTTGTGTTTCCAATGGAACAAGTTGCATTGCCAAGGCTGCCTGCTCAACCTATAAGACCATCACATCTTGCAACGGAGGTGGTTTGGAAAACAGCAAATCAACTGTTTGTGCTTTCACTCCCACTGGAACTGATAAGGTTAATGGAACATGCAAGACCTTCACAGCTTGTGCCGATGCTACCAAAGATAAATTGGCTTGCACAACCAACCCAACATGCAAATGGACTGAAAACTCAACAGGAACAAATTGTGCTAATCACGCTTGTGATACCTTTGCCACCGGAACTGATTGTCAACCAATTCCAAGTTTCGATGGAACCTCATCCACCGTTTGTGTTCTTTAAAGCGGAAAATGCGCTGCTGCTGATCCAGGAACCATGACTGATTCCAAGATTTGCTACACTAAATCAGCTTACACTTATAGTTGGAACGCCGCTACTAATAAATGTGAAAGTTGCATTTCAGGATCTGTCAATCCAAACAATTCAAATGGAACTAACAATAACACAGATAATGGAACAACTACCACCGACAGTGCTTACATCTTGTCAGTTATTTCACTCGGTCTTTTGGGATTAATGGCATGATTTTGATTTTCATATTATATATAGGGAAAAATTTATTAATGAAAAAAATTAATTAATTAAATCTTTTAAGAAAACAGTTTTTTAATTAAATCAAATAAATAGTAAATATAGAATTAATTAAAATAGGATTTAGTTATTACAAACAAGAACTTCTTTAGACTGAAGTATAAATCTCTCATCAATTTTGAGGAAGAATTTCTTTATTCATTTACAAATCTTCTTGGAATTCTTCAGTAATCTTTAAAAAAACTTTAAATTCCTTAAAAATTAAGTTTAACCTGTTGTAAATTTTACCTGAATATTTAAGATCAAATATATTAATTTATTAAACTAATTTTGAAAGACAAAATAATTAAAGCATTCCTTTCATTATTGATTTAACAATCACTGCGAGACAGTCAAATAAGAAGGAAGGTGATAAGTTCACAAAATTTATACATAAAAATTGATTGGATTACATAATTGTTTCACCAACAGAAGAGTGACACATTGAAAACCTAAAGGAAAGATATGGGATAATGATTTGAAATTCCAATTAACGAAAAAATTCTTAGTGTAACAATTTTATGATTTTTTAGACTAGGTATTGCACTTTTAAAGTATGCTATTTAACTAAATGGTATCTCGTGTCCATTGGGATAATCTAAAACGCACCTACTCAACCAAGCTGAAATCGAAAAATTTCCCTTTATGATACTTTTCATAAAGGAATTCCTAAAATATTAAAAAAGGAAACATTACTTGTCATATTCCTCTTTAATATAAATTGATGATGTGTNGGTATCTGCTATTGGAATGCCACTGCTAATACTTGTAAATTGAAGGAATGTGGAGATGAATAAAAGGGTACAAACGACTAATGCAAACTTATCTCAGTAACTGGAGGATCTTGCACAACTGATGGAACCAAATGTATCCCATATGCTGCTTGCTCAAGCTATGTTGAAGCTGGTTGTTTCTATGGAACTGATGGAGAATGTATTTTCGCATTACCAGTTGGAGCTACTACAGGAACTAAGGCCTGCAGATAAAAGCAATGTGAAGATATCACTGGAGGAACATCAAATGCTAATTGTATGGGTGTTATTACAGGAAAGGCTTGTGTTTCCAATGGAACAAGTTGCATTGCCAAGGCTGCCTGCTCAACCTATAAGACCATCACATCTTGTAACGGAGGTGGTTTGGAAAACAGCAAATCAACTGTTTGTGCTTTCACTCCCACTGGAACTGATAAGGTTAATGGAACATGCAAGACTTTCACAGCTTGTGCCGATGCTACCAAAGACAAATTGGCTTGCACAACCAACCCAACATGCAAATGGACTGAAAACTCAACAGGAACAAATTGTGCTAATCACGCTTGTGATACCTTTGCCACCGGAACTGATTGTCAACCAATTCCAAGTTTCGATGGAGCCTCTTCTACCGTTTGTGTTCTCTAAAGCGGAAAATGCGCTGCTGCTGATCCAGGAACCATGACTGATTCCAAGATTTGCTACACTAAATCAGCTTACACTTATAGTTTGAACGCCGCTACTAATAAATGTGAAAGTTGCATTGCAGAATCTGTCACTCCAAATAATTCAAATGGTACCAATAATGGAACAGATGATGGAACAACTACCAACGACAGTGCTTACATCTTGTAAGTTATTTCACTCGGTCTTTTGGGATTAATGGCATGATTTTGATTTTCATATTATATATAGGGAAAAATTTATTAATGAAAAAAATTAATAAGATTGTTTAAAAATAAAATCTAAATAATAGTTTTAGAATTTTATTAGGTTTTAGTTATTATATAAAATAATATTCAATACTTATGCTAATCTCATACCAATAAGAACTACTCTAGACAGAAGTATAAGGATTATAATCCATGATTAAGGATTTATTTCTTTATTCATTAAGTATTTAGTGTCTAAAAATTGATGTTAGAGTTTTTCGAATAGCCTTACAAGGAACTTGAGATTTCTTGCATTGATTGGGTAATCCTTTGGACAATTTTTGATTCAAATATTGTAAGAAATGAGTTGTTATTATTTTAATAGTTTTGATTTGAGAATCTAAAAATATTTTTCTGGGTCTTCAATCTGACTCAATTTTTCTTAGAGATGATATTTTTTTGAATTAGTTTTATTTTAATTTATTTTAATTGGCGAAACTGCATCTTTATATTATCATATGAATCCAATTTGGTTAGTTTTTTATTATGCTTCTTTAGGTAAGGTATTTTACTGTTAAAGTTTGCTATTTAACTCAATAATACCTAGTCTATGTAGTTTCAATTTAGAATTTGTCTTCTCAAAGCAATACATTTAATTAAAAATAATTTAGAATGTTGGAGCTATTACTTTGAAACTTTGCTTCTTTTGTATTTTTATTAACAATAAACTGGGTAATTCTTAATTGAGAAATTTAAGAAATTATAATCTCTTACACAATACAGCTAAGATTACTTATTCATAATACCAGAATCATCCGACCTTTTAGATTGCACTTTGAAAACTGTATAGATTAAGGAAGGAAAAATTTTGCTTTCGAGGAGATGAGAAACAGATTTGATTAATAACTTCAATATTGCGAAAGAAAAACATATATAAAATATTTTAAAAAAAGTATATCTTTATATACTATTTAATTTAGGTTCCTTGTTTTAACCAAAATAAATAATGAATTACTTGACTATTTAGGCTTTTTTAGTATTCTCATCTTACTTTCTCATAATTAATAACTTTAAGGATCAATAGAGAAAGAAATACAAAAATATCATATTATTTAGTGAATAATTTACAATCAAAAAGAGAAATTTTCGATCACTTTAATGAGTTTAGAATCAAAAGTAAATATATGAAATAAACAATTAAATGAAATCTAAAATTTAGCATCAAGTAATTTTATATTTAAATCTTCATCTTCGTAATTTAGTGATGATTCCTTTTGATCTTAAGAAAATATCTTTCATCTATAATATTTAGAGATAATCTACAAGAAAGCCCAATTGTGTTTATTCTATAGTAGCTGATATTTAGCATTTTTAAATTTAAATAGCTAGTCTAGCGTTTAAGTAGGTTGCTTTTTATATTTATAAAGTTTATTTTAATAATTGAAGTATGTTGAAAACAAACAATAAGAAATATCTATTATTTACTTGATTGACATCATATGTATTAAAAATGCATAATTCTCTAGAGAAAAATACCTTAAGTAAGTAATCATAATTAAGATTTAATTTCATCATTTAAAAGATATATAATTTACAAAGAAATTTCGATTATTATTCAAATATCAAGACTTAAAACGTGCTTGAATTTTAAGTGAATAATAAATAAATTAAATTGTTTTGTAAATAAAAAATAGATATAAAACAAATATTTTGTATTTTATACTTATAAGAATTACAATTCTAAAACAATTATGTGAATTGAAAATTTGACAGCGTAATTAGATGAGAAAGATAAGGAATAACTAAACTAATATTTTATGATAACCAATAATTCAAATAGTAAGAAGGGTATATTAATTTGTTATATGAAATGATGCATTAAGGACTGATTTAAGTTATGCCCTCTATTCTAGACATTCATGACTAATTAAGTATTTGGTTTAGCCAAAAAACTAGAATCGTTTTCCATTCTATTAAAGTTAAACCTAAAACTAGGAGCACTGGAGTCCAGTCAACAGACCTATATATATTGATTCTATTAAGTTTACTAGAAAACTGTCAGGCGGATGCACATCCACTCTTGGCATGAGAGGTATGATTAACCAATTGCTCTTGCTCGACTAGCTCTGCAAATTACTTGATGAACTGACTGCGAGCTTAGATCCAGACCTTCATATAATCCCATGGAAATGAGGATGGCATTCGTCCGCTCTGAGTGGTGCAAATGGCTTTGGATACTTTAGAGATTCTACTAATTGGCACGACTCTAAATTTGCATATTTATCTTTAATTGATAAAATTCCAGTTAAATATGTTTTTTTTTATTGATAAAAAATTGAAATAATAATGGCTTGATATCAGGAATTGATTAGAAATGTTGCATAACGTATGGAATTTGAATTAATAATCTTCAAGAAAAATCAATCTAAAATGAAAATAATTAATAATACATCAATCATATTATGATCGGTTGATTCTTTTAATTTCCTTACTCATTATTTTATACAATCTATAAGTATTATGGTTAGAGGAGATTCAATAGAAGATGTGCTGAGGGGATATCCTTAAGAATATAATATCTCAATTATTTTTAAGTTGAATCATTAAANAAAAGAGAAATTTTCGATCACTTTAATGGGTTTAGAATCAAAAGTAAATATATGAAATAAACAATTAAATGAAATCTAAAATTTAGCATCAAGTAATTTTATATTTAAATCTTCATCTTCGCAATTTAGTGATGATTCCTTTTGATCTTAAGAAAATATTTTTCATCTATAATATTTAGAGGTATTCTACAAGAAAGCCCAATTGTGTTTATTCTGTAGTAGCTGATATTTAGCATTTTTTAATTTAAATAGCTAGTCTAGCGTTTAAATAGGTTGCTTTTATATTTCTAAAGTTTATTTTAATAATTGAAGTATGTTGAAAACAAGCAATAAGAAATATCTATTATTTACTTGGTTGACATCATATGTATTAAAAATGCATAATTCTCTAGAGAAAAATACTTTAAGTAAGTAATCATAATTAAGATTTAATTTCATCATTTAAAAGATATAGAATTTACAAAGAAATTTCGATTATTATTCAAATATCAAAACTTAAAACATGCTTGAATTTTAAGTGAATAATAAACAAATTAAATTAAATTGTTTTGTAAATAAAAAATAGATATAAAACAAAATATTTTTGTATTTTATACTTATAAGAATTACAATTCTAAAACAATTATGTGAATTGAAAATTTGACAGCGTAATTAGATGAGAAAGATAAGGAATAACTAAACTAATATTTTATGATAACCAATAATTCAAATAGTAAGAAGGGTATAGCAATAAAGATGTGTGTTAGATGAAATGATGCGTTAAGGACTGATTTAATTCATTGCCCTCTATTCTAGACATTCATGACTAATTAAGTATTTGGTTTAGCCAAAAAACTAGAATCGTTTTCCATTCTATTAAAGTTAAACCCAAAACTAGGAGCACTGGAGTCCAGTCAACAGACCTATATCTATTGATTCTATTAAGTTTACTAGAAAACTGTCAGGCGGATGCACATCCACTCTTGCCATGAGAGGGATGATTGACCAATTACTCTTGCTCGACTAGCTCTGCCAATTACTTGATGAACTGACTGCGAGCTTAGATACAGACCTTCATATAATCCCATGGAAATGAGGATGGCATTCGTCCGCTCTGAGTGGTGCAAATGGCTTTGGATACTTTAGAGATTCTAAAAATTGGCACGACTCTAAATTTGCATATTTATCATTTAATTGATAAAATACCTGTTAAATATGTTTTTTTTTATTGATAAAAAATTGAAATAATAATGGCTTGATATCAGGAATTGATTAGAAATGTTGCATAACGTATGGAATTTGAATTAATAATCTTCAAGAAAAATCAATCTAAAATTAAAATAATTAATAATACATCAATAATATTATGATCGGTTGATTCTTTTAATTTCCCTACTAATTCTTTTATACCATCTATAAGTGTTATGGTTAGAGGAGATTCAACGGAAAATGTGCTGAAGGGATAACTTTAAGAAGATACTATCTCATTTATTTTTAAGTTGAATAATTATAAACAATTGACTCAACTTTGGGTGGTTAAAGTCCTCTCATAGGTTGAATAAAGCTTTGAATATTTCTACTTGAAAGCTAATATTATCAATAGCAGAACATAATCTTCTTAAATCTAGAAGTTTCATCACCATTCATCTGTTCTTCTTAAAATTTGACACATTTAAAGAGTCCCTCATAGTTTGTTTCACCTACAATATTGTTATTAATTCTTAGCCTAGAACAAATCTCAGCTCTTTTACTCGTTATTTCTCTAATTGACTTAGCACACTTTTTTAACATTATAATTTACCTGTCTAAATGTTTTAGGAGCTTCATAATAATTTAAGATGGAGTTTGAAATAGGTTTCATAACCAAAGATCTGGATAAATCTCTAAAATCCTTATGGAATTGTCTGCTCTGAGATGGTCAACTTCCCTCCTTCATTCAGGTCAATAACATAAATTTTCATTTAATTGAAGTGCTTATCCTGATTATTTACAACATCCTAATCTGTCTTCACAAACTAACCAGCCTTGTTTTAGCTCCAACTTCCTCTAGATTATTTTTTACTCTTGCCCTATTCAAAATCCGAGCTAATGATACCTAGCATTATTTTTAATTAAATATTACTTTACTTTACAATTACATAATCAGCTGTATCTAAAGCTTCAGTAAAGTTTTTCTATTAAATTCTGATTTGTTCTTCTGTTAAATTCTGATTTTTAAAATCTTCACCACCTTCATATTCATAACTTCTATCATACTTTCTTTCCTGGCAGCATTCTAGGATTCCCTTTAAAAAAGTGATTCCTTTGATTATCCATCCTTGAATTGGATTCTTTAAATGAATAGTATTTTAAAATAGGGTCATTCAAATCTCAATTTCCCAATAAACAGTCTGAATAAGAAGCTCTGCAGTAGAGATATATTCAAAATCACTTTCAGAGGTGATTATGAAAATTTAAGATTCTCATAAATGCTTCACCTCCTTTTTCTGCAAATATCTTATTAATATATCATTTCTCAGATATTATTGATTTTGAAAAATCAAAAATAAATTAAATTCTATAAATCCATTGTTTTCGAAAAATTAAAAATCATTTTTATCCTTAAATTAAGCAGGAAAATATTTATAATTAAAATAACTTAGATATGGTTAGAAAATCATTTTGAGAAGGTTGAAACTGATAATAGGTCTAGAATAAGTTGAGGGTGCACTTATAAAACTTCGATGCGGATCGCTACTCAATATCATCTTCTTTCATCTCGTACTTCTTCTCCCTGTTTGATCATTCTAATCTTATTTGAATAATTTCTGAAAAGTTGTACTCATTTTTAACTATTCAAATATTATTACTTATACTTATAATATAAGTATTGAGCGTTATATAAATAGTATAATATAATTAAAGAGATGAAACCATTATGTATACAACAATCAATATCTTTATTTTTGAAAAAGAATTAATTATCGATTATTTGATTAACTCTACAAAGAAGGGCAATTCTTAGGAGATTATGAATAGTATTATAATATATCGTTTTAGTGAAGAAATTAAAAAATAAATATTGAATATTAAAATATAACTTTAATCATTTTCGTATTGTGACAAGGTTAGAATCTTCTGTTTGAACTTTAAGAAATATTATTTTAAAATGAAAATAATAAAATGCAATTGAAAATAATAATTTAATTAGAATCATTTTTTTAAGTAAAAATTAATACTATAAGCTTGCATATCTATAATAATGTATCTCAAAATTCATCATCATTTTAGCTCTCAATTGGTAAATTTTCCGCAACTTTGAAATCCTCATAATCAGCTATTAAATCACCAAAAGATTCTCTTTATTCCATCAACATATTTGCTTCTTGACCTTAGCCAACATACCAATGTACAAATGCTCTTTTCCTGTACAATATATCAAACTTACGAGTTAATAATTTAAACCTACTAACAATTGAAGCATCATTAGAAAAGAAGGTTCCAGTTTGTTTCATTTATGCTAGTTCAGGTAATACTTAGTAATTGGATGATTGACATTAAAATATATTTGGACTTTAGCCAAAGTAATGATCAAAATTTTTTAGTATTAAATCAAATTTACCATAAAAAGAGTTCAATTATTTTTATCTAAATAATAACGCAGTAGCAATATAATTAGGACTTTTAGGACATTGATATAATTTTTACTCTACTTTTGAGAGAAATTTGATAAATTATTCTTGTTTTAATTCTTTTCTAGTGTAATCATTGATTAAAGTCATTTAGCCATATTATGGAATTAAAAAATGCATATAAGGATAAGGGCACAAATTTGATAAAAATTTGGAATTATCACTGTTGTTAAACCTTCTTAATCCAGTATATGAACTAATTATTTGAGAAACCACATTATTTAAATGTTGATAATCAACAAAGTCCAAACCTAATTGATGATCAATAACATTGTACATTGACTAATTGTCAAATATTGTAATGCTGTGAAAGTACTCTATCAGGGCTTGACTTGCGTCAATAGTATTATAAATTTCTACAGTACTATTACACATTTCTGAAGATGGGAAAATCATAAATCCATGTATTTTTACTTTCCTTTTCACATATTCTGTTATTTCATATACTAATCTACATAAAAATCCTGACCCAGTTCCTCCACTTATTGAATTTGTTATTACAATTTCTTCTAATCGATCCATCGTTTCTATTTTTTTTCTAATATAATCTAATGCTTCTAACAAAATCGTATCTCCAACAATATACCACCCTCGACAATGAGTCGATGCATCCTCTTTTGCATGTAAAAATGATTTATTCTTAAATTTTATTGATGTATTCTTTTAGACTTCATGTATTATTCTATCATCTGTATCGAAGAAAAGTGCTTATGGATAATGATTCCCATCAACTTCTTCATAAATATAAGTCTTCTGAGTTGTTTCGTTGTATTCTTTTTCATACAATTTCCATAACATATCACCAATCTTTACTCCAGCCCCTCCAATATGAATATGCAAAGAGGAAGACATCTAAAGATAATAAATTTTTAAATGGAGAATAATTTTTTATAGTAAATAAGACTTAAATTGAACAGAGATTATAACATTTCCATACGGCTTTTCTACTTATTTTTATAACAGTTTATAGAGGACAGGATATCTTCTATTCTACTTAGCGGATTTTAATCGTTATTTTTATAAATGAATAAGTATTATCCTAACTTAATTTCAATAATTAATTAGTATTGGTTCGCTTCATAAATAATAATACATGATTAAGACATCGGAATGCAATTAAGATAAATGCTAATAATAATTGAAAATTATAATGTGGATGTAGCTAATTTTAGATTTCACAAACTTTTGGAGGTAAACTATGTAGGAATAAATGTATTTCACTAAAAAAATTTAAAGTTATTTGTTCTCGAAAGAGTTTTCTTAAAGTAAAAAAAAAAGAAGATTTATAATCTGTTGGTGTGATTTTATTATATTTCTATCAATTGCGAAATTACTATCTTTTGAGATTTTTTAAACTAAAGTTAAGTTTCTGCGTAATAAAGAAACAATTTGTCTAAATAATTGGAGAAGATTTAATTTAATGTAAATTAGAATATTATTTTAATAGAATTCTAATTAATGAATGTTGATTAAGAATCCATTTGAAAGATTCAGTTTAGATTAAGATGGAACATCAATGAACTAATAGCCAGTGACCACACAGCAATTAAGTTGAACAGATCTTAATA